CAGATATTACGCAAACAGAGAGGATAATATTATGGTTAAACTGTATCATCCACCATAAAATTCCAACGGCTTTCATTTAATTATATAACCAAATGAAATAAGTTGGACAGAATTAGTCAATTTATCATATTTGTGACAAAGTTGTTTTAGGCATCAGAGAAAGTACGCCAGTTAGCAATTACAAGAAAATTGTTTTGACATAATATTTAAGCAACTTCAGCACAGGTAGATATTTCCCAGCTTGTTTCATAATTTACTTATAGTTATACTGCACAGTTTTCCTGAATTTAGTATTATAAGTAAATTAAGTTCAAAGTTTGAAATTTAACATGTTTTTAAAGAGCATAATGAGTTTATAGTTTTGTAATAGTTAAATTGATAATAAAGAATTTCTTTTCCATTTTATTAGCGAAGGAAAGATTTCATTGCTTATGGTTAATACAAATTTTAATCGACTCTTAAATTTAAAGAATAAGCTCTATTAACATAATTAACTCTTTTACAATAGCAAAGTGAAACAAGATTTTTCCGTAATCCTCTCTTGATTTAGTAATATATGCTTTATTTTTCAGTAATGCGTTAGGGTTCATTTATATAATCCACTTATTTGTGTTTTTTATCTCATGTATTATATAAAATTTTTTAAGGTAGTTGATTTTTTTTCTTTCAGTATTTGATTTGGTTTAGTTTGGTTTAACTATAAAAATACATGGGAAATCATCCAAATTCAAAATAGAAATAGTTCATGCATAAGCATAAATAAAATTTAAATTAAGCTTTTTTCGTGTAATTTTTGAAGTAAACAAAGGAGATTAAAATGCTTTTATCTTATGAACGCAGTAATGGCGGCTAGGCGATTTTCGTATAACTGAAGTCAACTATAATTAGGAAATTACAATGTAATTTCAACATTTAGTTTTAAAAACGTTTGTTGGGTTTGAAATATAAGCTAAAAATCAATATGAGCACTAAATAGAATTTATGTAGAGCGGTTATAGTGAAGAAATAGTTGCCAATTTGACTGTACTTTGTACCTTTTACTAATATATGAAATCTTCCATTTTCCTATTTTTCTTTCTCAATTTATTATTATTAGAAAATCTTACTTTTGAGTAATTTTCTCTGCTTTCTGTAAGAGCTCAAAAATTCTCCAAAATATGAGGAACTACCAATTGTAAGTAATTGGATTTTCATCTTTACCAATCACAGCAGGATTCTAACCCGGGTCTCCTGATTGAGAGATGAGCTCCCTCTCCTCTGAGAGCCATTGAACAACCTGGCCAATTTTGAGTTAACGACTACCAATGTTCATTTCCGTAGCCATGTCATTTTTAATCTTATCCAGAAGACAAGGGAACTCCTAAGTATTGGAAGAAATTTACCCTCGTGGTAAACTTCTTGTTAAAACTAACCCGCATTTGCGCTACACGGAGAGGAAAAATCTGCCACACTTAACCTGAGGCCAAGGGGACTATAACACGTGATTCGTCTATCACTGAGGATATGTTTCGTCAGCACTGTGGCCTGTGTTAGCCGGTTGCGGAATTTGTATCGACCAGCAATCTCTGGGATTCAAAATATACTTCTATTCATAAAAGTAAGATGTCAACTTATTTTTGGTAGACTTTTTACGAAATCTAAAACGAAAATTTAATCCCTAGAGTCCATGCCAATTTGCCAGATGAAAGATAAATAGTTTGTTACATGAGAGTCATGCGTAAGAAGAGATTTTCATATTGCCATTTAAGGTAATTAACGGCTTTAAGCAAGCGCCCAAACATTGTATAACCAGTTTGTTATTTCATTGCTTAATGAGTTTAGATGGCAATGCATTTTACTCTCCTCTTATTGATATTAATAAATAATCTACACTAAAACGAAGGGGAAGAGATAAATAAACGTAATGCGTGTAAAATGCTTCTCTGCCTAAAATTTCGAAGACTTTAGTGCAATTTGCTGACTATAAATGGTAAGTCAACACCTCTTCTTTTCATCTTTATGGATTTAATGGCTCAACTCCATAGCCCTGTAATTTTGAACCCGATCCAGAGGACAAGGGAACTCCTGAATCAAATATTGGAAGAAATGTCACCTTCGTAAAGGACTTTCTGATGGAATAAACCCGCTCTTGCTTTTCATGGAGGGGAAAATCGCAAAACTCCCCAGAACAAGTTAAAGGGAGAAGTTCTATGAATCTGTGCACAAAAATATTTAAAATACATAAAGTAGGTAAAATAGTATGTGCCCTTCCAATGAGGTGAACCAGGTTCGAATCCCCAGCAATGGATGGTCGAAGAGAATCCGCATCCGGTTTGCATCGAAAACAAGGGTGACGTGAAGCATCCTCAGTGGTAGACAGATCATGAGTTACAGCCCCTTTGCCGTCAGTTTAACCGTGGAAGGTTTTCGTGGTCTTTCTCACCATGTAGCGCAATTGTGGGTTAGTTTCATCAAAAAAACCACCACGAGGGCCAATTTCTTCCAATACTTAATCCCTTGTCTTCTGCATTGGGTTCAAAATTATAAGGCTACGGAGTTGAACATTAGTAGTTGCAAACCCAAAAAACTGGTTCCGCTGTTCAACGACGGTTAAAGAATAAAATATGGTTTGTGCATGAGTAAGTGAATAAAACCCTTATAAAAATAATACAATAAAACGTTTTGTGTATAGTTTAACTACTAATAGTGCGTAGAAATACAAAAATGTTTTAAAGACAAAAACTAAAAAAGAACAAAAAAATTT